GAAAGACTACAAAGATAATAATACATCGTCCTCAAAACCCAGTTTCTTATATACTGCACGAATTATTGAATTAATAGTAAAAAAGCAATATAAGATGTTAATGTGCGTATCATTAAAATACGATACAGGGTTATATAACATCCGATCATATAGAGTCAGATGAGACGAGGAGACAGAGACAGTAAGGGTAGGTCGTATTTTATACTACTTTTCCTTTACTTTAGTCAGTATATAATATATTGAAAATATAAGAAATTGGAAAATCTATCCGCTTAATTTTATTCCATTTATTTACACGAGCTTGACTTAAGTTGGTTTTTTTTTCAAGATTTATCAAAAAAAGTTTGAATGCATCATTTGTTTTCAATCAAGACCACATTGATTAAATCGTAGTATAGCTTCATCATATTTCGATAAGGTTTCAGATAAAAAATGACGAAGCTCTTGGATCTACATCTTCCTTTTTGGAGCCATCAATTCCACAAAAAAAACAGAGAAATCTCTGCATTCAAAATAAGTACTGTAACGATATCATCGGCGAACATCACACCCAAAACAAAATCAGCTGACATAATGCAGGTATACTAAGAACGATATAGTTTTTTAAAATTAAAAAACAGAATAATTTCCAAATTTAATGATGCAAACCCAGAGTAACTTTATTCTGCTTGAATTTTCTATCAATAAAAATTTTCTCAAGGACTTTTATTGCACTTAAAAAGTAACTGCATATTGAATTTATTTTTACTGTAGAAGAGGTGGTAACAAGTTAGTTAACGACACACATATAACAATTATTTGTTCTGACAGATGTGCCTCTGAAAGTGGTAATACAGAATTTAGAATTTGAAAATTTTTAATTTGCTCCATTTTCATCTCTACTACTATTCTAGCTGAGGCAATATGAGCAGTTTTAAAAAACTCGGATGAAGACATTTGACTTTTAGTTGACACCCGAGGAGGAACATTCAAACCAATATCTGCAGGCAGTAAATCTTCTATGGTAAAGCCCTTGTCGGCCATAATAACATCACCCGGGGACAATTTAGGTATTAAGTCATCGTTTTGAACTATGTGCCTATCTGATGCATTCCCTCCCCATAACCTAGATACAAATGATACCATCCCATTAGGTGTTACCCCTACAAGTATTTTGAACGTATTATGATGCTTATACTCGGACCAAGTTAACCACTGAGCTACAAGAGATGATGGCCTTTCCACAAAAAATTCAGTGCAATCAACTACTAGACGAGTATCTGAGTGATCATTAAAGTATCTAGGTAAATTAGCAAGTATCTGCTCCCTTGTAGGCCATGCAATTAAACCTCTGGTATGATCATATATAAAGTACACCCATGTATTGAATATTCTTGAAACACTAGTTTTTGAAATTCTAAAAATATCGGCTAAAAGTTCTTGATTCAGTCCAAGTCTGAGTCTCATGCATGTTAGTAGGAATTCATCTATGGGCCGTAGAAATCTTTTTTCCCTGGTTTTTGATGGCCATCTTGATGATAATTTTTGTCCCCCATTGAACGCCTTTCCCCTTCCCAGTAGTTTAATTTATCTGCCCCATGTTTCAGAAGGGTTAAAAAGAAGAGCCATAAAACTTGGAATGTAGGGAAGCCTGTATAAAAGCGAACTTTTTCATCACTGTCTCTGATGTCCTCATAAACCATTCGAGGCAAATCACACTGAACAGCAGCATCATTGGTTGAGCAGAACGAGTGACCTGCTTGTACTCCCACATCCAATGTTATGTTGTAGGAACTTGTACTGGTACTTTTATGTGCTGTGTTTGTTGTTTCAGCTAAAATATTGTGTTCAAAGGTATTTTCTTTAAAAAGTTCATTTTCATTGCAGTCAACTGATGTACCTTTTTCATCAGGATAAGGACTGTCACTGGAACCAATCTCTGAATTAGTAATGTTGCTAGTAAAATTGGTGTGCCTTGTCAGTGGTCTTCTTTCTTTCACTTCTTTTATTGGTTTTGATGGAAAAATGGTTGGAATTGATTCACCCGTGAAAGGGGTTTCAAAATGGGCACTGCAAATTCTGGAACTATCATGCAAAATTTGCTCTGACAGTTTTTACTTTCATTACCCATTGCCGTCTGATGTGGAATTTTTTATGTGACATTGGGAATCTATGCAGAATTACTTTTGTACCGTCCTGTTGGATGGTATTTGACGTGTTGTGACAGAGGGGAATGCAGCAATACGTTTTACCCATGCTGAAAAAAAATTATTAATATGATGAATACACATGTAGTGATGTACATACAATATTTATCTTAAACTAAACAATGATTTATAAATCCCGAAAATATCAGGTCGGCAAGGTATGAAACCCTCTGCCTCGACGTAGGTCGATAATATTTAAACGCCCCATGTCATTATTATCTATAAATAGCGTTTGATCTTACCAGTGTTTTCCTACAGTGCACTAAAGCGTGAACTCCCCGGAAGCGTCATGCGCATTATAAATAACAAACTCGAAAACGGTTTTTTAAGCAAAATAACCATTGCGGAATCGGACTATTTTTATAAATCTTGTTGTTTCTTGGTACACATGAGGTCTTCCAAAATATTTTGTTTGGGTTAGTGAATTCTAAAAAGAATCCATCACAACTTGAGGTCAGTTGTGACATTTTGGTGGCAGCGGTGAGATAGATTTCCAGTTAGCCAAGTATACCTGCATTATTTTCATACGTTTTGGAAAAAAAGTTGAGTTGACAAAGAGTCATATTACTTGCAGGTTTTGTACAAAATATTTTTTTTTCATATGCATTTTCTTATTTTCACATCTGTTGTTTGTTGTTGCGTTGCATATTGTAGCCATGGAGTATGTACAATTAGTAGAAAAGTTAGGTTTGCAAGGAACTGAGTTACAAGAGTTTGTTGAAAGAAAAGAGAGAGAATATTTTGAAAGGATGGTAAGGGCAGCAGAGAGAGACGCGAGAAAGATTGAGAGCGAAATTGAATTAGAAAAACTTAAGAAAGAAACTGAATTACAGAAATTAAAAGCTAGAGAATTAGCTGTAGGTCCATTGGGTATTGCTTCTCAATCGCTTGCTAAGTTGCCAAAGTTACCTCCGTTTGATGAATCTGAAGATTGTATTGATTCATATTTACAGAGATTCGAAAGGTTTGCTTCGTGTGCTAAGTGGGAAGAGTCTTCATGGGCCATTAATCTTACTGCTCTCCTGAAAGGTAAACCTCTTGAGGTGTATTCTAGACTTCCAGTTTCAGAGGCTTTGAACTATGGTTCCTTGAAGCAAGCGTTGTTAAGGCGTTTTCAACTGACGGAAGAAGGGTTTCGTGTCAAATTCCGTTCCAGCAGACCAGAACAGGGTGAGAATCCTTCACAATTCTTTGCTAGGCTGAATAATTATGTAGAGAATGGTTGTCTTTAGCAGATAGTCCTAAAACATATGACGGTCTTAAAGATTTGTGTTTAAGAGAACAGTTTTTAAACAGTTGTAGTAGCCGTTGGGAATGTATCTTAAAGAAAGACACCCGAAAAGCGTAGAAGAAATCAAATCTCGCAGACCAATTTATTGAAGCTCATGGTTACACTTCATTCACTAAAGACTTACAAGTTTTTCAGAAGCAACCATCAAGCACTTCTTGCGTTCAGAGTAACAGCAGTGGATCAATTCAAAAGCAACAGATGTACCAAGGATCACTACAGCAGAAAGGTGAGAGAAAATGTTACATCTGTGGGAAAAGTGGCCATTTGGCAAGAAACTGTTTCTCGAAGCAGAAGATTCCTCGAGCAGTACCTACTTCACACAATACTCAAAAGGCTGCAATGTTACAGAGTTAACATAACTGTGAGTTGAATTGCATAAAATCTAATGACAATGCTATAGTTCCAACGTACAGAATTCTGCTGAAGTCAGGATGGACAACGCAATATCGCATCAAAATCAGCCTCACATAGGATCAGCATGCATCCCTCAACATAAACTGTTGCAGTGTTGTGTCACAGACGGACTTGTAAAACTTGCATGTGGACACGTATTACCTGTTATTGTAGGCGTCTGCAAGGTTTGTGAAAAGATGCCCGTTGCTATGGGTTATGTCGGTGAGAACATTGTTAAGGTATTAAAAGACTCAGGTTGTAGCGATGTTGTTGTGAAGAAAGATTTGGTTACAGATGATCAGCCGACTGGACAAGTGCAGGAATGTGTTCTGATAGATGGCACAGTTCGTACAGTGGAAGAGGCTTCCATCTATGTCGACACTCCCTATTTCACAGGTAATATCAATGCTTTATGTATGAAAGAACCTGTTTACGATCTTATTATAGGTAACATCGATGGTGCCACAAATCAGACGGATCCTGATCCACAGTGGTGTATAAGGACATAAGAGAAGAGTGTAGTCAAGTTCTTCAAGCTGTACAGACAAGGAATCAAAAGAAAGAAGACAAAGGTATGAAAAAGCTAAAAGTTTCAGATTTAGTGAATACTGATATGACAATTGATCAAATGAAACAACTGCAGATGGACGATTCTTCCTTGAAAGTGTATCGTGAGCATGCAGCGACTGGCAGAAAGAAGAACATTGGTGAAAATATAGAGACATGGTTTAGAGTTGAAAGAGGACTGTTGTACAGACATTATCATTCAAAAAAGGTTAGTGATGAAAAACTGCATAAACAACTTGTTGTTCCAGAACCTTTGCGACAGAAAGTTATGAAGATTGCGCACGACAGTATCCTAGGCGGACATCTTGGTACAAAGAAAACCTAAGACCGCATCATGTCGAATTTCTTTTGACCTGGAATCCATGGTGATGTGACGAGATATTGCCAATCATGTGACAAATGCCAAAGAACATTTCCTAAAGGCAAAGTGAAGAAGGTTCCGTTGGAGAAAATGTCACTTGTTAATACACTATTTGAACGGATAGCCGTAGATTTGGTACGTCCGCTTTCTCCAATTACTGATAAAGGCAATAGATATATTTTGACTGTTGTAGATTACAGTACTAGGTATCCAGAGGCGGTTGCATTGAAGAACATCGATACAGAGACGGTGGTAGAAACATTGGTAGAAATATTCAGCAGAGTTGGCATTCCAAAAGAAGTTCTGTCGGACATGGGTACGCAATTTACCTCCAACATCATGAAAGAGGTGGGTCGACTTTTATCATTTAAGTAATTAGTAACAACTTCATACCATCCAGCATGTAATGGACTAGTAGAAAAGTTCAATGGTACTTTGAAGTCAATGTTAAGGAAAATGAGTTCTGAAAGACCAAAAGACTATATTGTGACACACAGAGTCCGACACTTCTGTTTCATACTTGGATATTTTACTTGAAAAAGACGCTAATGGTAACCTAACAATCAAGCTATGTGATTAACTTTTCTATCGTCAACTTCCCTTACTTATGCAGCACATGTAGTGGTGATGGTCTCTGGTTTATCCAGTAGTGTTTTGGCTGAAGGGGCTGGTGCAGATTCTGCTATTTGTTTTGCCATCCTTGAGTTGTACACATGGTCATCCTTTATCAAAGATAACGTTCCGAAAAGTTTCTGAATCTGATCTTCTTGAATTTCAGTTGGCGAAAATGATGGTAAAGAAATAATAATAGGAAGTGGACTTTTCTTTAATGTGGATATTTTACTATTATATTGAAATATCAACGATGAATCATTTGATTCGAGAATTTTTTCTGACGAATTCACATAAGATTAATATTTAAAATATCCCATTCTATTTCATCTTTGTTATTCTTTAAAACTTCAATGATTGCCTTTTTCATTCTCTTTAGCTCTGCTTGGAGTTGATTGACAACTATGTCAATCTTTCTGTGATAATCCTCTCTTAGTATTCCTATAGATTCAGAAATATCCTTACATTTCATTTCTACTCTGTCTGTCTTGTCTGTATATCCGCCAAAATTCCATCGTACGTTTTTGAAATTTCTGCTGTTATTTTCCCAATATCTTGTATTTCTTTCCTTTTCGATGAATACATTTCTCGGAGTAGAAATATTTTGTGATTAAAATGCTTTTCAGATGCAACACAGGCACTACATACTGGAATAACACAATGTTTACGATACATTTCACAGCGTTCATTAAGGTGTATTGTACATCCAGGGTATAGGGGGAATGATTTCCTAGACTGAAATTTAAAGGTACTTGGACACAGATTTGAAGTTAATATTTTCTCATTTTTTCTGTATAATATCACGAATTATATATTTTAATAGCATTTCACACAAAAATTAATTAAAAATCTTATTTCATTTAAAAGTTATTAAAACTTTCAATTTTTTGGCGGGTTTGATTGACACATCCTTGCACTTTCACAAATGTTAACCTTATTTTTAATCCTAAGGAAAAGTGGCAATTTGAATGTGTATTAATGAGAAATATGAAAACTTTTAACAAGAAAAATAATTTTTATTCAGAGTAGAAATGTTAGAAAGCAAAACACCTTCACAAGTATCGTCATTCCGAACTAAGAGATGCGTACAGATATTAGCGAATCGAGCACACTCGTGTTATGTACACAGTTTTTGTAAACAGGGCTCGAGTTCTGTTATTGTTTATATTTAGAATTCACCGGGTGCGTTCAATCGTCACAGTCTGCTTACCACAACTGCACGGACTGACAATATATTGTGTGTTTGTTTTCTTTTCGAACATGTCTACTCTGAATTTTCTGGATTATAGTATTAATATTTTTCATTTATACAAAACGAGATTGCCACTTTTCCTAAGGATTAAGAATAAAATTAAATTTGTGAGAGTGCAAGGATATGTCAATCAAACCCGCCGAAAAATTTGAAATTTCAAAATCTTTTAAATGAAATAAGATTTTTAATTAATTTTTGTGTGAAATGCTATTAAAATATATAAGTCGTAATATTATAGAGAAAATAATAACTTCAAATCTGTGTCCAAGTACCTTTAATATTGTAGTGAAGTTTTGATTCATCAGAAATCATGTGTTTTCCTACGCAAGCTGTGCACAGATTAACAAGACATGCATCACAGTACATCTGTACCACGGCAGTCTTGCAAACGTCACAACGCACCGAGACCTGTGCACGGGGTCGGCTTTCCATTTGTGAATAAATTCAGTGAGGTAAAATTCAAAAATCTGTATTCATCCCGGATTCAACATATCAAATACAGCTATGTTCCACTGTGGTCCTATCAATCTGATAAAAATCAGATTCTTGTTGCTGGTGCAAGGTGAAGAGAAGAAGTAAAGAACAAAATTTAAGGTATATTGCTGCATAAGAAAGGGAAGTTGCCGATAGAAAAGTAAAAGTCGTCACGTTTAACAAACAGCAAGGTTCTTAGATTACAGTTAACGTCTTTTCAGTTAAAATATCCAAGTGTGAAACAGATGTGTCAGACTCTGTGGTATATTTCATCTCAAGTTCACGGGGATATATCGCATCGATGGAGATGTTAGATTTAATACTGTTCGTAATCTCAATATCTTTCTTCCGCTTTTATTTTTATACTGGATTTTAATACGGTAGGCCCGGTTTTTCTAATAAAATATAATGGGCTTACAGCGGGTGTGACCGGTCAACACAGAATGCTTACTCCCCCACGTCCCCTGATCCCACTTCATGGCAGGGATGTTTTCATAAGTAAAACAATATAGATTATTAAGAAAAAAAAATCTTACTTTTTAATTTAAAATTGTCTCAAAATTCCTAACACAGGTAAAGTTTGTAACCTTGTTATCTCACTCTGTATTAAATCACTTCCTTGTGTAGGAATAAGTGGACAGATAACCACAGGTAGACTGCAAGCCCTCAAGGCATTCACACTAACTCCCCAGAATCGGCGGCCCACACACGATTGTAGGCAAACTAGAATGTAAGTTTTCGTAATTATACATGGTGTATATATTGAATATAAAGGAAAAATGATTCTCAGCTGCTTTAAAAACATACCGAAAAATTTATTTAATTTCAAAAGATGTAACTTGTTTGTTGAAATATATCATAATTCACATTATTCTCATAAATACGCATATTATATTATTCAAGTACTTCCTGACAAATTGAAATTAATCGAACTTTGAGTTCCAGATATACTAAGGAAGTTACATTCCAAAAAATGATTGGAATCACTTTTCAGTTTTGTAGAGCATCATACGTGCAGATAAGCTTTGTGGAGTTCAACGAGCAAAAAACAAAAACATGGTGTTCCAAGTCTTCCTCTGTATATTTGTAACATTGTCTCAACCCTGGATCGCACGTAGTTCTGGGGACTCCTCGACAAACGAAATATTTAGATGGGTTCCACGTGGATGGGATGGATTACCGCTATTCTGTCCAAATTGGTGTCAAGACACTTCTTCCACTGGAACTAAGACAGACCAATGTTGTGCTTGTCACGCTAAAAGTATTTTGGATTACAGTGACAATTTTCTCTCTTTAAATGTTTCAAAAGAGGTATATTTGGAAGGGAATAAATCTCATGGAAATATGGTTCTAGAATATTCGTACAAATATCTTCAATGCTTTCTGAGTAACATACAAACAAACTTATTACAAAATCGTCTTTTAAAAGTACCGATTCTGCCTTGCCTTCAAAATTTATGTGATTTTCTAGGAATAACAAGAGTAAACTTATCTCACAATCTAATCCTGACAATTCCAAATCTTACCTGTCTCGCAAACCTAACGCATCTGGATTTGTCGTGGAATTTAATAACAGTTTTAACTAAACATTCTCTTGTTGGAAATAGGAATCTAAGGTATGTCAACCTATCCAATAATTCCATTAGTTATATAGAGCCGGGGACTTTGGCATCAATGGCAGCTCATGTTATTATTTTGAGAGGAAATGCTTTGATATCGGTTGATGTCGAAGACATTGTTTTTGAAAGACCGTTTTGTTATCTTCATTTTTCAAACAATAACCTGGGTACAGGCACGAATATGCACAACTGGAAAATGAATTGGTCCAAAAAATATGGTCCAGGATTTGTAGATATTTCACACAACCAATTCACAAAAATGCCAAATGTTAAAAAACTGGGTTTTGCTAACCTTGTTGATTTGGGAAAACTATTCGACTTCGGCTTTGATGTACGACATAACCCTCTGATATGCAACTGTAGAATCGCAAAACCCGTTTTACTTTTTGAACCATATATTAATAAAATGGATAGGAATTACTTCAATATAACTTGTGGTTCGCCAGCGCCTTTCAGGGGGAGATCACTCCCAAGTATCATAAAAAATAAAGAAATTATTGATTTGATTTGTAATTATACTGCCAGCCCTGTGTGTCCTAGAGGTTGCTCTTGTATCGAAAAACCAGACAATTCAAGCTTAGAAAGGCGAAACTTGAAATTGGTTCTCCATATGAATTGTACTGGTTCTGGGCTAACGCGTCTTCCTCATATCCTTCCAAAAAGTGATGAAATCGAATTCTATTTGAGAGAGAATCCAATTGGAGAAATAACACAAGAACATTATATGGAACGTGTCACTGTCCTTGATTTACCATTTATACCTACATTTGAAATGGAAGCCCTTGAAAACCTTACTCATCTGAAGGTTTTCTCCATTCCAAGACCCCAACAGCTGCACGGAATTCCTCGAGTACTTTCTTTCCTGGATCCATGTGTGTTTCTTCAACGGGAAAGTTTTCTTATGTATTGCACTTGTTCACACCTCTGGATGTATGATTGGATTCAAACAAAACAAGCGGATAATTGCACACAATATTCCTTTTATTGTGTAAAAGAAAATGGTGAGGAACTACTGACAAAGTACTTTTCTTATCTAAAATGTGCAGACTTCGGTCAACATCATAATTATTTTGTCTTATTGTCAGTCTCTTCTACAATCGTGTCTGCTTTCATCCTTTTTATTTTTGCTAACATATGGAAATTTGAAATCAAGATCATTTTAAGATCTAGACAAATATGTACAACATCCAAGAAAACTCTGGACGAAGACTGTGTGGTTTACATTTCATATGACGAAAAGATCCAAGATTTGAACTCGTGGCTGATAAAGAGACTTGAACCATTTTTGAAAAGGAATGAATTGACTGTATTTATCCCGTCACGTGACCTACCTTTGGGCTGTATAAGGTCAGAGGAGACTTCAAGACAGATTTCTGTATCAAGGTACTACATCGTGTTCATGTCTGACGGCTACTTCCATGCGGATTCATTTCTGACGCAAAATGACTGGAAGTGTATCTGGAACAGTTATTTGTCTGACTCTAGAAAGGAATTGCTGGTCATAAACTACGATCTGATGAGGAAAGCCGATGTTCCCTCTAATACATTTAAGGCAGTCATGCGTTTTGGCAATGTCGTGGATTTTGCTTCCGGAGAGAAGAGAATATTTTCAAAGATGATGGAAAGGTTTCTTTAGTAACATTAGATAGAAGACATTTTAGGAGTTTCCAGATTATAGAACTGAACTTTCCCAGATAAATTCCTGCAACAACATTTATTTTGATATAATGTCTTATTCCTCTGCCTATGTGTTGTTTGTCCTTAAAATTTATGATGTAGCCTTGTCTATGATGTGTTTATATTAAATAGAAGAATAAGTTATGTAAATACATGTATGCTGATTGATTGATTGTATGTTGTTTAACGTCTCTCTCGAGAATTTTTCACTCATATGGAGACGCCACCACTTGCAGATAGAGAGCTACACATTTTGACCTATACTCGGCACTTAGGGCCATTGAGCAGGGAGGGATCTTTTTTCGTACCGGCACCTACTACGACACAGGACCTCAGTTTATATGGTATCAACCGAAGGATCGTTCTCAACGTCCTACAGTGGGATTCGAACCCGCGATGTAAGGATTTACTGCTTACTTTGCGACTCTAGAGAAGACGCTCTAACGAATGCACCACGCAGGCGGCGAAAATATGCTGAATGCTGTTCTATATAAAATTAGCTAATTACTACTCTACATATAGAATTATAAGACCCATTAGAACATTCAACTATACAGTCTGATAATATTACATAAAGAATTGCAATATTTTAAAAAAACATGGACACTGCCATTATATACATATGGGAGGTGGGGATATCATTTATTGAGCTCATTGATCACGGTACCTATAGTTTGTCTTTATTCCCCTACAGTTAAGTGTACCGACCAATTTTATAATTTGTATGTCTCAATTTCTCATTATCTTTAACTCATTATCTTTAATGACTTAACTTTGAAATAAATATGCTTTAAAACCTCTGATTAATAAAAAATGACTGAAAAAGATAATGTACTGAATGTGAAAGACAACAAAGAAAACAATATATCGTCTTCAAAAGCAAGTTTCTCATATACTGCACGATATCAATAAATCAACTTGAATCTAATAAAGCTATATAAGATGCTTATGTGAGTATCATTAAAATCCGATACAAGTATATATAACATCCGAACATATAGGGTCAGATGAGATGAGGAGACAGAGTCATTAAGGGTAGATCGTATTTTACACTCATTTTCCTTTCTTGTACTTTAGTCAGTATATACTAGTAATATATTGAAAAACATAAGAAATTTGAAAATCTATCCGGTTATTTTATTCAATTTATTTACACGAACATGACTTAACCCCTTCCCTACCGCATCGGTCAATATGACCGATAGCGTGTTAAAACACGACATCTCGATAACAGGATCGCCGTATCTTTTTAATAAAAGGGTTAAGGTATATAATCTATATATCATCTTTTAGGAAATTTTCTCTTCTTTCAGACCCTGTAAAAATTTTGAATAGATTTTACGTTTTGAAAACATTCATATTTTTTTGAAAATGACGCAATTTTCCAAAGCAAGGATGGTTTTCCCGACGATAGACATATTTTCTCCGGATTAATTCATTTAAATAAAATTGATATATTCAAAAAGGATATTTTATCTGCTTTTAAAATATGTAAAAATTATTGTTTTTTCTTTTAACTATTTTGTAAAAACAAGATATGAAGGCGTTCGCCGGTTTGACATCGTCGGTAACCAACAAATGATACTCTTTGGTTCTTTCAACCATCACAAAAATTGTGTAGTAGGAAAGGGGAAATGCACGAAGAAAACACTTGGCTGGACCGGGAATCGAACCCGGGACCCCTGATATCCAGGCCGATATCCACGGTCCGTAAAGCCTGAACTTCTACGATTGTTTTTCCGATGAAAAAATTATTTACAATACAATGTCACTGTTTTCTCAATCTGGAAATACTGTATGTACTGATCAATAAAATATTTATGTTCGATGTACTCTGACCCACATTTTTCAAAGGTGGGTAAGTAGGTTGTTAATATTTGGGGGGTTTCAAAGCTGTAAAATTGATAACTGTCATAAAAATCACAGATGATAGCTATACACAAGATTGTTGTTATAAAGACTTTAAGTCAAAAAGTTCCTATAGAAATCATATATCTTTGCTTTAAGATGAAATTAAAAAAATAAAAGTTTAATGTGCTGAAAAAAATTATTTGGGTAGGAACAATTTTGACGGGTCGTCAGAGTACATCAAACAAATCAATTTTTATTGTTGGTCTGAATTGAAGCTTTTTTTTAAATTAATAAGCATCCGAACTGTGGTTTGCGATGATAGGTTTGAAAAAGTTCTGCTTATTTTTGTGTTGTTTTTGAAGTGGATAAGTTTTGATGACCATCTCTAAGTACCATTCAAAGAAAAAAGAAACTTGACAACATTCTGAAGAAATATTGTGTAACACAAACACATTAATTTTTTTAGCATGTGTAGTGTGCTGGTACCAAAGGCTTCAGAACTTTTATCTGTGATGACCCACTTGCTAATCCCACCAATGGCCACCATGCACTGAAAAGACCATGATGTGGAGGACATATGTGCTTAGTTATAAGTAAGTCAATTTTATTGCAGCAGTCAAAATTCCTCATTTACTGGATGGCTATTTGTCAACACTCCCATGTACATGAGTTGCCCGACTGGCGCAGTGGTTAGAGCCTCTGCTCTATAGTCATGAAGTAAGGAGTTGCACCTTACATCGCAGGTTCGAATCTTACTCTGAGACGTGGAGGCCTGTCCTTCTGATGAGACACTATAAAAATATCTTATCTTATTTTATTTTATACTTATATAAACCAATTAAGGTCCCTTGACGCAGTAGGTGCTGGCATGATAAAGATTCCTCACAGCTCAATGGTCGTAAGTGCCGAGTATAGGACAAAATTTGCATCTGTCCACCGACAAGTGGTGGCGTCTCCATATGAGTGAGAATTTCTTGAGAGGGACGTTAAACAACATACAAACAAGCCCATGTACATGAACACCTTCTCCCATGGATTTTTCTCTGAAGTAACAGTTTTCAGTCCAACATGCCCTTTCTCTTAACAACCCTGACAAAAAAACTTAAAGAGGATATTTGGTGCATTTAATAGAATTAATGGTTAATCATGCTACTTTTTAAAATGTTTAATTGATTAACAATGATTGTTTAGTACAAGGCTGGTAATTTTCAGTCATAAAACATTGACTTCACCATTACATTTAACTACAAGTATGACAAAATATAACACATATAATATAATATATGTAATATACTTTATAAATATTTTAAAAGGAAAGTTATATCAATGTGTCAGTTGTAGATTTCTTGATAATCTGAATCATCTGATTAAAAATACATTTTTGATTTGAAAAACGTTTGCAAAACTTTTTTCAAAATTTGTTATAGGGCAGAATACATTTAGAAACTGATCATGCCTTGGTCAAATCAATGGACTTTCAGAGAGATGGCAGAGAGATCATTCAACACGAAGATGAT